TCTATACTAAATACTGCACCTTAGAAAAGATTATAAATGTGTATATAGTTTACTTTGTAGGTACATGTTTCTTTGTTTTTTATGAACTTCGTATTGATTTCATCTACTACAATCTTAAAAAAACAAGAAAATGTGTTCCTTCTCTGTGCTACTGGACTTGAACATAGGCTTATGCTCGGAAGAGCGAGAATAAAATCCCACATCAGTTAAATAGGAGGTAAATAAAACCCAATTCTTAGCAATTTTATCGAATTCTGAAAAAGTCTATGCAAATTTTTGTGTTAAAAGTGATGAATTTGCAAGTTCTTGGATCTTAATACACAAGTCTAACATAAGATATCTCCTCCATATGTGTTCCTACTGATATCAGAAGTAGTTCATAGCCCAATAAAAATATTAGTTTGAAGATGTGGTCCACATTGTGTTTCCAAATGAACATACTTTCTTTTCTTCAATAAAATTATGTATATGCATATTAAAAAAAAAAAAAAATGATGATGATGAAAAAGTTTATTATGATGGACTTCTATGTTTGGCTCAAGTTTTTAAACTGTTTATAAACACTTAAATCGCTTTTTATTTATACATTTCGAGATATTTACATGTACTATCACTTACCGCTCATTCCTACGTATATTGTTTCATTACATTAATCTTAGGCCGTGTTTGATATGCCACATTTTTTGGAGAAGTNTCTATACTAAATACTGCACCTTAGATAAGATTATAAATGTGTTTATAGTTTACTTTGTAGGTACATTTTTCTTTGTTTTTTATGAACTTTGTATTGATTTCATCTACCACAATCTTAAAAAAACAAGAAAATGTGTTCCTTCTCTGTGCTACTGGACTTGAACATAGGCTTATGCTCGGAAGAGCGAGAATAAAATCCCACATCAGTTAAATACGAGGTAAATAAAACCCAATTCTTAGCAATTTTATCGAATTCTGAAAAAGTCTATGCAAATTTTTGTGTTAAAAGTGATGAATTTGCAAGTTCTTGGATCTTAACATACAAGTCTAACATAAGATATCTCCTCCATATGTGTTCCTACTGATATCAGAGGTAGTTCATAGCCCAATAAAAATATTAGTTTGAAGACGTGGTCCACATTGTGTTTCCAAATGAACATACTTTCTTTTCTTCAATAAAATTATGTATATGCATATATTAAAAAAAAAGATGATGAAAAAGTTTATTATGATGGACTTCTATGTTTGGCTCAAGTTTTTAAACTGTTTATAAACACTTAAATCGCTTTTTATTTATACATTTCGAGATATTTACATGTACTATCACTTACTCACCGCTCATTCCTACGTATATTGTTTCATTACATTAATATTAGGTCGTGTTTGATAGGCCACATTTTTCGAAGTGGGAAAATATTTTCCACTTTCCACTTTTTTGGCTGTTTGATAGGCGAAATTTTCTACGGAAAATATTTTCCCGATTTTCCCCACACGTGTGCAATTTTCAAGTTATTGATGAAAATGTTTTCCCGCCTTTTTGGT